GGGCTTCCTTGCACTCCCGCTGGCCTTGCAGGTCCACCGCCGGGCCCCTCATGGGGCTCGGCAGTGGAGCTGCAAGGCCGCCGCCAGCGGTCGGGACCGTTGGGGGCGGGGTGTGTGGGCTTATGACACACTTCCGGTGATATCAGGGGGTATGGCCTTATGACACACTTCCGGTGATGTCAGGGGGTGTGGCATATGCTAATGAGTTATGCTAATGAGTTCCCCTAGCTCTTTTTCTATGAAATGACCCCTGCTTTTGAGCAAGGGAAACCTTTACCTTTACTATATAGTTTACAGTGCACTGGATCCTACAAGCTCAAAGCTGTCAGTCACAATTCCCAGACTCTTACGATTGCCCGCCATAGACTCTGAGACACTTTGGGAAACCACATATCTGATGACGTTCGCTTTGACTCACAAAAGCTGCTGTTGGTGGAGGAAAGTGTCACCTAGTTGCACCCAGCTTATGGCGACCCCCTAGAGTTTTCAAGGCAAGGGATGAACAGAGGTGCTTTTGCCCTTTCCTGCCTCTGCATAGCAACCCTGGACTTCCTTGCTGATCTCCCATCCAATTACTGAGCGGGGCTGATCCTGCATAACAGCCTTCAGGATGGGACTGAGCCCGTCTGAGCCACCCAGGGCAAGGCCACAAATGCTTATACCCTAGTCTGGACAATGTTGTTGGTCTCTATGGTGCTGCTGGACTTGATTTTGGGAAAGCACCCTTGTTGGTTCTTGCTGGCGCTACTTCCCTTTGTACCCTCTCCTCTACCAAGTGGCTTTTCTGCTCCCCCATTCAAAAGACGGCCTGTGGGGAATCCGTGGCTGCCATGGATGGGAAAGGGTTCTGGTGGATGACATTGTGGGAGCGCAGGACCCTTTGAGAAGGGATGGCTGGGATGAGAACCAGCATGGTGTAATCGCTAGCACCTGGTGTGGGGTGGGGGTGATCATGGGGGTCTCAGTTAACAGTCCCACTCAGGCATCAAGCTTACTTTATAATTATGTAATAAATAAATATCTGAGCAGTGAACACTGCAATATGTAGTATTGGAAGCCGAGCCCTTTCTCTGGGAGGAGATGTAGTATAGTGAATAGGTGTGTGTGTGTGGAGAGGTGTTATATTTATCCCGCCCTGGGCTCAAATACTGGTTGCACCAGTGTCTTCCTCCACAAGAGGGCAGCATCGGCCTCTATCTCTCAGGCAGGCAGGCAGGCCACACCCACCAGTCCCCCCCACACTCCCACACTGTCCATTTCAGCTCCTGTCTCCATCTTCCTCTCACCCACATACACCAGCATCCTCCTTCTGTCTCCTTAGCAAACACACATTCATGTTATCCTTTCCCTGAGAATATTGTATTTTGAGGTACTTTTAATAATTTGAAGCATTTCTGATATTACTCTCTGTATTGACAAATGAAAACAATACAGTATTATATATTTTAAAAAGACAAGTGAGAAGAAAAGATGGTTTGCCATTGCCTTCCTCTGCTGGCGGTCTCCCGTCCACTTAGGTTCCAAGATCAGGCTGCCTTAATATTATTTATATTTTGGATTTCTTTTTTCAATTCTCTTTTTTTATTTGTTGTAAATCTCTTTCCCCCCCATTTGTAAATAAAACTTTTTTAAAAAATAATTTTTATCCCTTCCCTGATATGCGTCTCTCTCTCTTTCTCTCTTATAAGAAACGACCTTTTCTTATTCCCAGATTTGAATCACATGCCCGTCATCTTTTCTAGAGCTCTCCCTTTAGCACCACCCCATCGATCAACACTCCCTCCCTCAGTCTTTAACTCTCCCCATCATTCTAAAAACTCTTCATAATATTTTCCCTCCGTTCCTGACATTCATTCATTCCACCCTGTAGGGATAGGCCGGGTTCCACCGAGTACAATCCAACGTACAATATCCTGCAAATCACAGGATCGCCCTCTTTTCTAGCCCTTTTTACTGAATCGGGGGGGGGGACGGACATCTCACAGAAGGGTTTAGGCTGCCTTCTCACATCATCCTTAGGTATGTGACGGAGAACATTTTAAAGCGGCCTGAGGGGTGAGGACCGCAGGGCTAAGTGGGAAAGGCGTGTTCCGTGGTAACTTCTCTGCATGGCGCGGTCGCGTCGTCTCCCCTTCTCGCGTACGCAGACGGCAACATGCGAACACGCCCACTTCCCTTCTCTTTCCCACAAGCGCCACGTCTGCGGCACTCCCAATTCTGAGACGAGGTTCACCTCCCCACCCCCTCCAATCAGGGATCCTTGCCGTCTGTTCTGCCAGGGAAATTTAGAAGCACACATTTTAAAAGTTTAATTTTTTGAAAAGGCATTTCCCGGGGGAAGTGTCAACAGCACCCTCTCCAAAGTTTCGAGGGATGGAAGGGAACCATGGCATCTTCCCAAATCCGTTGAAGTCTGGCTGTGGTGCTGGGGGAAGGTCTTCGTCCTTCGCAGACCTCCGTCCCTCTGGTGTCTCTCGCACGCCCTCCTCGGCTCCCTCCACCTCCGCAGGGCCCGGACCGCCGCCACCTGCTCCCGTTCATTCTCTGCCCCTCCCCTGCCCACGATGCCCTTCTCCGTTCCGAGAACCCTCCAGATGTTCGACCTTAACGCTCGTGAGAACGGATCAGGCAGGCTCGGTTTCGTGAACGCGCGTCGTCCGTCTCTCCCCCTCCCCTCCGCTCTCGCCGCGCCTGGCCCCTCCTCTTCCTTCCGGGCCCCACCCCTCCTCCGCCAGCGACTCTTCAGCACCACGGCGAGCGGACAGCTCCCTCGGCAGAAACCCGACCGCGACCTCCCCGCCCCGCTTCGCTTCGCTTTCGCCCGCCTCGCCTCGCCTCTTGCTTTCCAGCCGTCCGGCAAGAAGGATCCCGGGCAGCCCCTTGGGAAAGGAAACGAGAACAACCAAAGGTAAGTCGCGGCTCCCCGCTTAGGCTTTCCAGAAAGGTGGGGCGTGCAAAAAAAAAAAAGCCTGCTTCGGAGAAGAGAGAAGGACCCCCCCCCCCCCCCCCATTATTATTTTTTTGCGTTGGTCAGGAGGGTTTCTTCCCTCGAGCCGTCCAGGATGGGGGATGGAGAGGGAGGGAGGCGGAGAGCGGGGGTGAAATCCCTTCCCGGGGCTGGGAGGATCAGTCCCCAGAGGCTGGGAAACAAAGACAGGTGTTCTCTACGCACAGTGATGGGAGGGAAGGAGGGAGAGAGGAAGAGTGGCTTTTAAACGGCGCGTGGAGGCGAAGGATGGGAGGTGGGAAGAGATGGATCCTCGCTCCGGTTTGCCCCTTCGAAGTGGGGATCCAGGCCCGTGGGGGCGGTCGCGCCAGGGCGGGACCGGACTGGAATCGCAAGGGGGGGGGGGATTCCTTCAGAGAAACAGGGTGGCCATCTCTATCGGAGGAAACAGAGTTTCTCTGACTCGACCAGTGTCGGTTGACAGGGCTGTGCCCGGCGGCCCCACCACTCCTCCACAGGACGCGAATGACCAGCTGACCCCACCTCTCGCGCCCCCTTACATTTCCCGTCGGCGTTCTTCCATTTGAGGCTCCCCTCCCCTCCCCAAGGAAGCAAGCAGCTGAAGGGGGGGGTTATGTGATGTCCCTTTTGCTTTGTGGGTGTGGGTGTGTGTTATGGTCAGAGAAAGAGGGAGGGGTGTTGCCGGGGGGGGGGCAGGATCCTGGGTGGGAGAGAGGAAGCCAGCCCGTCCGCCGTCTCCGGGGAAAGCAGGGGCAAAAAAAGAAAAAAAAAACCCATGCAAAAAACGGTGTAAATGGGCTGACCGCTGGAAGAAAGGCAGCCGGTCCATTTGGGCAGGTTCTCTTCGCGCCGGAGCCGGAGAGGGTTGCTATGTGAGCCATCAATAATTCACGTCGAGGCGAGCGGGTGTCTCCAGGGCGGGGCGGAAGTTTTTGAACGCACGCGGGGGGTGGGGGGAGGATATTGATTTCATCTTGGTCTGTACTAAAGCAGGCTGGACCCCTGTGCGAGGGCTCAGCTTTGGGACACACGAGGCTTTAGGGAACGGTGCCTCTGAGCCCGTGCAGAGTGTCCTCTCTTCCTTTGCCCCTGAGCGAGGGCAGCCAGCCTCGGTAACCGTCTACTGTTTTTCTGGATCAGCACCTTCCAGGCCTACTCCTAGAAACGATCAAGCAATGAATCTGTTTTCCCACAATACATATATTAATTACGGTGGTGTTCCACCTTCCTTTATGGAACTGGAGGCAGTGTACGTCAGTTTCCCGGGAGGTCTCCCTTGGAGGCAGGGAGCCCATCCAGAGCCACTTCATTTCAGCAAGACTTTAGTCAGAGTATACCTGGAGAGAGACCCAGCGCCCCACGCGTTGACAAAACTCCCCCTACAACTCCTTTCTGGGGTGAGTCTGAAGGGCAAAGATTGGTTTCCAAGTTGCAATCCATAAAGGACAGTGAATTATAACCAGCCCTTCATTTGAGTTGGGGTTCACTAGGATTAATCTGGAGCCGGTCAGACCCAAGGTAGCTGGAATGAAGTGGAATGACCTTAAAAGCAAAGGGTCTCCTCTGGCCTGTCCTTTTTTAATGACAGGACTCCAGTGAAATTAGAAGAAGATACAGAGATTCAGCTGGGAAGACGTAAGAACTGCCCTGCGGGTGCTGGATCAGGCCGAAGAAGGTCCAGCTAGTTCAGCAGCTTGTTTCCCATGGCAGAGAAGCCCGGCTTGGTACAGATCAAGATCTCCCCGTCACTCAAGCCAGGGGACAAACTGTTTTTGTTGGTTTTCTGGAAGGCAGAAATTAGGAGAGTGAAGATTATTTTTTAGTTTATTCATTGATCTACTTCATTCAGTCCCCACCTCACTCCCTGAGGGGGCCCCAAAGTGGCTTACATCATTCTCTTCTCCTTCATTTTATCCTCACAACAACCCTGCGAAGGAGGTTAGGCTGGGGGGGGGTGACTGGCCAAAGATCACCCAGCAAGCTGCTTTGACGTGAATGACCCCGGCTAGCCGGATCTTGTCAGATCTTGGAAGCTAAGCAGAGTTGGCCCCAGCTAGGATTTGGAAGGGCAACCTCCAAGGAATATCAGGGGCATGACGCAGAGGCAGGCAAAGGCAAGCCACCTCTCTGAAACATCCCGTGCCTTAAAAACAAGTCTAGCTCGCCACCTGGTGGTGCATAATGCTAAAAGAGCTAGAATTTCTGGCTGCCAGACAATCTTTGGATCTCCTGGCTATACTGCACACACTGCCGTAGGATAATGGTTAAGTATTATTACCCCACAAGCTTCTATGGCACAAGTGGGGGGTTAAGCCTGGATTGTCCAACCCTCCAACCGCTCTCCCATGCTGGCTCTTGCCAGTTCAATTCTGTACTGCTTAATTCACCTGCTTGATTTTCTCTGCCCATCTTTCCCAGCTCTGTGCCCTGATCCTGGAGACAGCAGGGACTGAACAGAACTCCACCGCTATGTCACCTGCCTTGGCTGTCAGTTTGTTTCTAGGTCCAGTTTCAAAGTGCTGGTAGCCCTAAATGGCTTAGTATCCAGGGTACTGCCGGCCGGCAGTGTTCCCTCTAAGCTGCGTTGTGTGAGCTAGCTCACAGTTTTTTAGCCTCCAGCTCACATGTTTTTCTCTTAGCTCAGGAAGGATGGCTCCAGAGCAAGCTAATCTATGCAGCAGCCAAATGGCTCGCTCACAACTTTAATGCCTGTAGCTCACAAAGTAGAATTTTTGCTCACAAGACTCCACAGCTTAGAGGGAACATTGCGTGCTGGGGCCACCTCCACCCATAAGAACCTGGTCCCAAGTTAAGGCCATTTTTTACTGGTGCTCTGTTTTGCTTGCCTGGTTAACAGAAGCAGGTGGCTACACAAGACAGGGCTTTTTCAGCTGTGGCCCCTCCAAACTATGGAACTCCTTGCCCAGGCAGAACATCCGTGCCCTCTCACTCTGGCCTTCTAGAGATCCAAGAGCACATCTTATTCTCGAGGGCAGTTGGTGAATGAAATCTGATGCTATGCTGATCTACTTTTAAAGTTTCTTATATTGCTTATTGTTGATTTTCTAAAATGTGATTTTTACTGCTTTTTTAAAAGTTGCAGGGTCGTTTTTACTACTGTTCTCTATCTTAATTAAGACAGAGGTGCTCTGTATTCTGGGTGCTTAGGGTGGAGGGCAACAGTGGGAGGGCTTCTGGAGTTGGGGCCCCGCTGGTGGACCTCCTGATGGCACCTGGGTTTTGGCCCCTGTGTGACCCAGAGGGTTCGACTGGATGGGCTGTTGGCGTGATCCAGCATGGCTTCTCTTACGTTCTTATCTGTCTCCATTTTATGTGACCCTTCTTCCAAGAAGCTCAGGGATTTATACACGGGTCGTCCCTCCTCCATTTTGTTCCCACCACGGCCCTGAGCAGGATAGGCTGAGAGTGTTTGCCTGGCCCAAGGTTACATAGTGAGCTTTATGGCGGAGTGGGGATTCAAACCTGGATCTCCCTGTTAAAGAAAACACATTGGCTTTATTTTTTATTTAGAAAATGTACATGATGGCTGGTTTTCTGACTGAGGATATGTGAACTGCTGCAAGTTAAGAACATAAGAGAAGACAATGATGGATCAGGCCAATGGCCCATAAGAACATAACATAACATAAGAGACGCCAATGTTGGATCAGGTCAAAGGCCCATCCAGCCCAACACTCTGTGTCACACAGTGGCCAGAAATACCAGTGCCATCAGGAGGTCCACCAGTGGGGCCAGGACACTAGAAGCCCTCCCACTGTTGACCCCCCCCCCAAGCACCAAGAAGACAGAGCATCCCTTGCCCCAGAGCCCCTATCTATACCTTGTGGCTAATAGCCACTGATGGACCTCTGCTTCATCAAGCCCATCAAGTCCAACACGCTGTCACACAGTGGCCAAAACACTCTGTCATACAGTTGCTGCTTTCAGTTCATGTATGATCACTCTCTTGGGTGCAGGTCAGTCTTAATTTTTATTCTTCCTTGTAAACCACCTTGAGTGTCCTTTTAGTAGAAAAGTGGAGTAGAAACTTCCAAAATAAATCTGTGGACAAAGTGCACGCTCTGTCCTCTGGGCCAGAACCTGCCCCATTTATTAGGGTGAGTTACTCTGGGGGAAGATTTTGGTGTGGTGGTCAATGCTCCCTCTAAGCTGTGGAGTCCTGTGAGCAAAAGTTCTCCTTTGTGAGCTACTGGCATTAAAGTTGTGAGCAGGTGATTTGGCTGCTGCATAAATTAGTTTGCTCTGGAGCTATCCTTCCTGAGCTGAGATAAAAACGTGTGAGCTGGTGGCTAAAGAACTGTGAGCTAGCTCACATAAACTCAGCTTAGAGGGAACACTGGTGGTGGTATGTCCTTCTGCGGCACGCTGTTCTTGGGAGAACCGGTCTCTGGCCATTGGCTGTGGAGCCCTGGACGTCTCCCCCCGCCCCCCGCGCCCCATATCCACTTCCTTGCTTGTGAAATCGTAGGCCACTGTGAAGCTGGGCTTTCATCCAAGGCGATATTTTAAAGATGATTGAACTCCCTGATCTTTTAAACTCATCGATTGATAGATCTGGATTTAAATTTAGGGTCATCTTGTTTTTAAAAAAGACGCTCACTTGGGAGCGAGTCCCTCTCAGCTTGGAAAGCCAGTGTGTCTCGGGTCTGGTTCCAGAGGGTGGGGAGCCCCCCCCCCCAATTCTCTTGATTCCCCCATGCTGGGCCACCCGTGCCTGCAGCAGCAGCAGCAACACTCCCTTCTCTTGAGGGCTCTCCAGCCCTGGAAGGCGGCGAGAGGAGCGGAGGCCGCCGCAGACCTTGCTTCTGCCCAGGGTAGCTGGAGGTGCGCTTCGGCTGTGTGTGCCCGCCTGAATGGCTTAGATCCCCCTGTGGACCGGCTCCTTTGGTGTGGGGCTTGCAGTGGTTGTCATGGTTTTC